TTTGCAAACATGTAAAATTTTACTTGCGCGAAAAAAATATAAAGTAATTTTTATTAACATAATCTAATTAAAATTAATTATTGTTTACTAACAAAGATAAAAGTTAATTTTTTGGATTTTCTGTTTATTTTGATCAAAGTTTAACTTTACTGAGAAATAATTTGATCAAAAATTAATAAAATGTACTTTGACTGTGGTAAATTTATTCTAGAAATATTTTAAGTTTACATAAATACAATGAAACTTCTGGCCCATTAAAAAAATGGTCAAGTATTATAATAAAAAAATAATAGGCAACAAGTAAAAGTAAATAAATTATATAAATTAAAAATTTAAATTTACTCTGAGAATATTTTAAATTAACAGAAATTCACAGAAAATCCAGATATGTCTTACTATGAATGTATTAAAAGTTACTTTATTCATTTTTTCCACACGAATAAAAAAATATTCTCCCGATATCTATAACATTGATCGAAATGGTGTTAAATAAGAATTATAATTAATCTCGATTGAGTCTGTAAAATTTATTATTTAATTATGAAATAATATAAATTCTGGTTCTACAACTTGAAGGACGAAACCACAACATACATAGTGATATTGAGAATTCAAGTGCAAATCTCTAAGAAACACGTAAATTTAAAAGAAACAAAAAAACAACAACAATATTTCCAACCATATAGTTTTTAATGAGTTTGAATAAAATCCTGTCAGGGTGGTCGATCGAGTAAATAAACTCGATAGGTGAGCCAAGTAAAACCTGGCAAACCAGTCTACTCATATTGCCATTGTAAGCAACAAACCAATCCTATTGCATTCCTTTAGAAAATGAATTATAATCATTTCAAAAAATACCAAAAAATTGTCATTTATATGTTATTGTAATGTATCATATTTGTCACGAACTTTCAGATTAATCTCGCGGATAGATCAAATTGATTTTATATACCCATTCATATAGTTTATAAATTTTAAAATGAGTCTGATTTTTATTTTTGTTGAAATGGAAAATTTCTTTTAAAAATTATAGACACAATTATTCCAATACATACATAGCAATAAATCAACTTGTCTCACTGAAGTTTGGAATGTTTGAAAATATTTTTCTATTTGAATATAATATTGATTATTAATGACTCTTTGAATTGAGAGAAAAATTCATTTTTTTTTATTCTGGAGAATTTTTAGAAATTAAATTCATTTCGTCATTTCGATTTGAAAATTTTTTAAATTAATGTAATAAAAACAATTGGTTGCTTTCAATTACTATTTAGTTTGTAAAAGGATCGTTGCTAATTTTTATTAGTTACTATTACTATATTTAGTTAATATTCTAAAGTTATTAACGTAACTAATTAGCATTAAACAAAATATTTAACTAAATAAAATATTAATTAAATTAACTGAAATGATAGTTTTTGCTAATAAAAATTGTCACATAGATGTGACAATTTTTATTAGCAAAAACTATCATTTCAGTTGAGATTTAATTAATATTATTCTTACTCGAATCCTAACTCAAAGTAATCTTAGGATTCAAGTAAGAATAAGGCTCATTTTTTTATTTACATTTTTTAAACCTAAATTATTTTATTCTACTTATTATTTTCTTTTGCTAAATTATAAAGTACTTAAATAATTCCCCAATAAAAAAAAGCTCTGCAGTGTGTTTCAAGTATTTCTGTTCATTCGTAAAATGTGATTTTTCTCTCAATCATTTATGATTGAATAAGCAAAAAAAATGAAAGAAGAGAAAAAAAATGACAATACATTTTCTGTCAATGTTTAAAGAATACGTCTCAAAAAATTATTTATTATCTCGTTTGGAGATTTGTGTAGTAGGTTAGACCGCTACATGTTATATGGATCATTCCTTTCCTTGTGTGAATAATTTATCGTGTTACTTCGTGACCTGTACAGCACTAAAATGCGCTAAGTTATTTTTAGTATTCAGTTTATTCTTTCACCTATTTTCTAAGAGTGACTTTAACGAGTTTATACAATTTAAAACGGAAGTCAACAAGTATTTTTTGGGAACAGAGGAAAAAAAAGACTAAACATATAGAGTGTTTACTATTGAACAATTTACAGAATTAGGTTGTGTTTATTATTTAAGCACTTGGTCAATGTTTTGAATAGTCTCAATGTTGTGGAGTGGGACATTTATTTTTTCTACTTCAATTTTAGAATTTTTTGTTATTAATTTATAGAGACTGAAGGAAAGGAATTATGTAAAATTTAACTATTACAATTATTTGTAGAGTCATAAGCGCATATTTATAAAAATTTTAACTTTTTGGTTCCTCTGATATTTTTTATAACTTCAATTATTTTCCAAATATTTTCAATTTTTTTTTCTTGTTGGAAATATTAATACTCAATAATATACTGTCCCACACGGAAAATATATACTTCTCCTACTGACATTTATTTTGTTAAATTGAAAATTTGCTTCAGGTGATCAAATTCTTTCTTTAAACACAAAATTTATCAAATGGAAACAACTGTTTATTTAAATCAAATAAATATTTATTTGGGTCAAAGAAACTACTTAGAATTCAATTTTTTTTGACATCAGAACCTTGAAAAAATTGTTTTGTGGCATTATTGACCACAAAAGTATTAATATAAATATTACAATCAGAAAAAAATTTGTTTGAAGAAATATTTATTTAGGTTTAAAAATTAATACTTTGAATAATAATAATAATAATAATGATTAATATCACTCGGTTTTAAAATTAATTAAATTGAGAAATTAAAATTTCCGCAGAAATATGCATTTATTAGAAAAAAGTTTTTGTTGATTTGAAGAAATCATTTGTTTCGTATTGTTCCTCCAATTGAAAATTAATTTCTCTTTGATTCAAGTAAAATTTATTTGTTTCCCAAAAAATATATTTGTTTCAATAACAATTTATTTGTTTCAAAGAAATTTTCCTTCTTAAATTAAAGAATTATTTCTTTGTTTTTCTTCATCTTTAAATGATAACATTTTTTTCATTTAAAGAACAAATTTCTTGGATTACAAAAAATTGTTTAAATCAAAGAAATTTTCTTTGAATCAAAAACCTTCTTTTTGTTTGAAAGAAAAATTTATTTGGAATAAAATAAAACGAGTACAAGAAACTAATTTCTTTAAATAAAAAAATTGTTGTTTCTGAGTGTTGACTACATCCAGAGAAATGTTTTATTTGAACCAAATATAATATATATTTCTCTCAGAGTCTACTAAATTATTCATTTGATTTAGATGAAATTTAAGCACAAATTTTTAGTACAAATGAATGTTTATTTGGCAAAATAAAATCTTTACTTAAACTAAATAAAATTTATTTATAAAAATTTTTACTAATTTGAATTATTCGTTTCTAACTTTTTGCTTTGAATTAGTTTTTACGACGAAATAGTAATTTCTATTAATTTTTGCTTTTGAATTAGTAAATTTTACTAAAAAATTAGTAGAAATTACTATTGATTAAAATTTACTAATTCAAAAATAAAAAATCAATCGCTAATTCAAGTTAGTAAACATTTTGACTAATTCAAATTGAGAGAATAAATTATTTATTTGTTTTAAGCAAAAATTTTATTCTGCAGAAATAAAATCTTTATTTGATCCAAATGAAATTTTATTTGAACCAAGTAAAATTTATTTGAAACGAACAAAAAGTTCAGTTGGCTCTGAGTCAAATACATCTTTTTTCTGGGTGTAAAAGGAAACAAAATAAGCTAAAAATTTAATGTATTTGTTGCCTCATAAATTTATATACAATTAATTGAAGAATTTTATAAATACGTGAAATTTATATGGAAAATTATGTAAATTTGAAAAATGTGAAAACCGTACATTATTAATGTTATATACAGAGTGCAAAATCTGAAGATTACACTACATTGTATACATAGTCTAGAATAAATAGCTTGTAATTAAAATTCCTCGAGGTTAAGATTGCATTAGATTTATGGTATAGGAAATTATGAATTACAAATTACTTCTTCTTTCACAAAGATTCTTTATAGCAGTAAACAAAAACAAAAAAAAGAAACAATAAAGATATTCTTCCTTTATTAGTTTCAATTTAAAACCTAAAATTTTAACTTGCTTTTCATATACCTACATCAACGGGGCATAAAATTTTAAAAGCGAGCCGTTAGTCATTTTTTTTCAATTTGCCGAAAATTTATTTCTCAAATATAACGGTATTTTTCTTTTCAAATTTTTAGTTTAATTAAATGAGCATAATAATTAGCTTCGGTAATTAAAAATACTTGCTTACCTCAATTTTTTTTTTTGGCAAAGATTTTTTTTTTAAAAAAGGTGTTATAAAACTTGTACTCGTATAGACACTGCGACTAGTTGTATTTCATTATATTGATAAATATTCAAACAGTAGTTAGACAATTTTTCCGCTAGTTTCCAAAAAGAAGATAAGATTGTGTATTTGAATTTGACATTGAAAAATTAACTCAATTTCATAGGTGTCACGTGTGAACATCTGTGCCAATGATAACTTCTTTATTAAATCGACAATATTCTTTTAATATATATTGATAATCGACTTTCTGACAGAAACTATTTTGCATAACATGTTAATTATATCTATAATGACGAATAAATCCCCAGGAGTAATGAATTTTTACTTATCTTAAATGAATACGTGTTTATAAAAATTATTATCCAGGGGGAATTTGGGTCAAATTGGTTTTTAATTAGACATTTTTTACATCCTATTCAGGTGTAAAATCAGATATGATTTTGAATTATTATCAACATTGAATAATTATTAATTGTAATTACAAATACATTCTAGAAAGAATGTATATCTTAAAAGTAACTTTGTAGACACTTTTAAAATTCTTAATTTTTTTTTACTTAATTTTTGTAATAATTATTAATAATAAATTTTAATAATTATCAATAAAGAATAATTATTTTCTGAGTCTAATATTTTTATTAGGCGAGAAATTTGCATTCAGAAATAAAGTGTATTTACCAAATTTAGTTTGCCCATCTTCTCGACAATTGTATCCATGTTGGAGAGTTCAAACTTCTTTGTATTTTTTTTTTTTTTTTTTAAAGAATATTTCAACACTTTTTTATGTGCTTCGCGGACACAGTTAACAGGTGGGCCACGTGATTCCTGTCAATGTTTACCGGTAGACTGCGAAATTATAAGGTGAACACTCGGTTCGCTCTTCGCTTTTTTTAAACAGGCAGAAACGCTGCGGATGCGTTCACCCGAATTTCTCCGGCGAGATCGAACGATGCCGGGTAAATAAAAATAAAAAAAAAAACGTTTCGCGAGAGACGAAAGTTGCAGGTGATTGTTAAAGGTACGAAGAAAAAAACTAGCACACTAAAGGGGACAATTTTTTTTCCAGATCATTTATAAAAGCACACAATACATTCACGATTTTTTTTTTTTAAAATTATTTTCAAAACGACATAATTTTTTTCTTGATATTTTGATATTATAGTAATTTTTTATCCACAATTTCTCGTACTTTCTCCCGCCATTCGTAAATCCAGTGTAAATTTTTTGTTGTTCATTGATTAATTTCGATTTTTGGTAGTTTCATTTTTGAAAAAAAATAAATTTTGGTGGAAATTTTTAGTAAGTGATGAGAGTTTGTTGCTCTTTTTCTTCTGTTATCGCGCGCGCTAAGTCCCGGTTAGAATAAAGAGGCGTCCGACCGCGGAACCTCCTTGGCCGCGATTGTAGATTGAACTGCCAGGTGAAAACACAACGCAGCCTGCACAGGTGCACCTCTGAGAGACTCTCTGACTGGCCTCTTGCGTAGAAGGGGGGCCTACTTGGACTTTAAAGTGTTCTCTAACTTTGATTTTAGACTTTATCAGTGTACGAGATTATTGTCAATTTTTTTTATTGTTCTCTTTATCAATTATTATATTTATAACGTTGGATTGTACAATTATATAATTTTTTTTTCTCATACAAAAATATCTCTATAACCACACCCTGCAGAAAGTAATCTTTGTTTTAGCGGATTCCTCTAAAAGTATAATGAATATTTTCCTCTTTTATACAACCAGAAAAAAGATATTATTGATTCAGAGCCAACTAAACTTTTTATTTGTTTCAAAAATAAAGTTTAAATAAAATTTCATTTGGTCCGAATAAAAATTTTATTTGTGCCGAATAAAATTTGTATTAAAAATAAATAAAGAATTTAGTAGATTCTGAGACAAGTATATTTTTACTTATCTCAAATAAATTATATTAATAAAATTTTTCTCATTTTATAGAAACATCCCCTACACCAAAAAATGTTACATCATTTGTGAACGTTCAGTAATTCTTTATTATATTTATTTACTTATATCACTTGAATTCATTGTTTCTGACATGAGAACCTCGAAAAAATTGTTTTATTTTATTACTAAGCACCAAAGAATAAAAATATTTTACAATCAAATATGAAATACTTTTATTTTAAGTAGATATTACACGCAGAAAAGATTTCTGTTAATTTTGAATAAATCAGTTTTTTATAGACTCGTTTTTTGTTTCATTCAAAATAAATTTTTCTTTCAAACGAAAAGAGCGTTTTTTAAATAAAAGAAAAATTCTTTGATTCAAACAGATTTTCATTGATTTAAACGAATTTTCTTTCAATTAAAAAAAATTTGTTCATTAAATCAAAGAAATGTTTAATAAATAATTAAATTATTTATTTATTAAATTTTTAAAATGTTTAAAGGAAAATTTCTCTGATGCAATTAAACTGTTGCTTGACTTTAATAAATTTTGCGTTTAAAAAAAATAATTTGGTCAACTAAAGCAAATTTTTAGTTGAATCAAACAAATGTTTTGTTAAGTGCATAGTGATGCATTTATTTGATTGATTCAATAAAAATTTGATTGTTACAAACAAATTTTTTTATATTGTTATACTTTGGACAAACACATTGAATTCTAAATATTTTTTTATTAACCTGAATAAATATTTATCTGATTTAAATAAACTATTGGTTCAGTTTGATAAATGTTGAGTTTGAAGAAATAATTTGGTCATCTGAAGCAAATTTTTAATTGAACCAAATAAATGTTTAGCTAACTCCATAGCATCAATCAATTTGTTCAGTCGATTCAGCAAAAATTTATTTGTTTCAAAGAAATAATTTGTTTGTTTCAAAGAAATAACTTGTTTTAGATCAAATAATTTTTTTTCTAAATCAAACGAATTTCTTTCTGTACCAAATAAATAATCTTTGAATCCAAGAAAAATTAATTTCCAATCGAAGGAACGAGTCAAGATTTCTTTACATCAACAAAAACTTTTTTCTGGGTGTAGAAAAGGATTTTACCATTTAAAATGAAATTACTTTTTCCTCGGTACAGAAAAAATTAACTTTCTTGGAACCTTCTCTTTGAAATCGATGGGAAAATATTAAATTTATAGGATTATGTGTCATTAACTTGAACTCATAATTGTGTTATTTAAAAAAATAAATTTATGTCTTACAACTGCTTTTTGGATATTAAGATTTTTTGATGACATTTCTATATATTCAAAAGTAAATTTGACTTTTCTTTTTTAAATTTAGTCATCATTAAAAATTTAAAGCAAGTCAATATAACATTTTAATGGACATCTATTTTTATGGTTTGGAAATAAATTTTTCGGCTCGTAAAAAATAATTTTATAGGTTTTTAATAGTAAAAGAAAATTCTATTTTTTGCCCCCTCTTTGAAAGTGTTTTTCATATCTAAAAATTAATTTAATTTTTTGTTTGATGTTGGATTTTTATATACAAAGTTAACAAATGACTGCTTTAAAAAATATTTTATTTTATAACTATGTAATTGCATTTTTTAAGAAATGTTTAAAAACACAATATTGAAGTTAGAAATTGGAGAAATTATTGTGATTCTTATGTTGATATTTTGCTAGTATTTATTATTTTAATTTGGTTTTCCTGAAGGTTATTATTATTTACGTAGAATTTTTTTGTAAACGCAATGTTTATATTAATCTAATTTCATTTTTTTGTTTTCAGTTTCAGATCTGTTAATGATGATAAATAAAAGTTTGCCAGGATTAAGACCAAATTTACACCGGTGAAAAATAACTTGAAAAGCAATGATATCAATTTTCGAAGGAGGATCTTCCTGAATTGTCGCATTTTGTTCTTCTTGGTGCTTCAGGTATTTTTAAAAATATTATTAAGTTTTTAATATTTCCTTTATAATCAGAATGTCTGTCATATCATACACTATTATAATGAGTATAAACTAAAAAAAGCAATAGTTATAAATACTTTTCGAAAAAAAACACGCAAATTATTTCGATTTTCATAAAAGTATATCCACATTTTTTTGGTGCTGTAATGTTTTCTCGCAAACAAATCACTACCTTTCGTTCAGTAGAGAAATTGCGTTGTCAAAAAAATAACACACAACAAACTTAATAACCATTTATCATATGCTGTTATTGTACTTGCAATTGCTTAAATTTTTAATCGTTTTCAATTTAGACTACCGAGTGGAAATGATAATTAAACGTTTTCACAATTTCTTTATCCCACCATCTTTTTTAATATCTTTTCAAAGTATATTTATACTTGGCCTTTTTGCCAACTTTCCCGTAGTTTTGTATATTTTTATTTTAATTCCGATTATTAAGACATTTGAGGAAAAAGTGTTGCAAGAAATTTTCTTAATGAACACTCTTTCACGTGATGTGTATGTGTGTGTGTAAAAGTCTAGATTGTAAAGTGGGTTTCATTTATTGTCTGTATAAACTTTTACTTGTAGATTATTATTTCTGTTTTTTTATTTCTTCTTTCGGTGTTATTTTTATTTTTTTTTGGAGGGAGAAGTACAAGAAATGTTTAATTTCTAGCCGGAAGTAAATAATACTTTGAGTTTTTGGTGCTTTCTTTTCAGAGAAGTAAAACAATTATTAAAGTGTAATAGTTAAATTGCGAACATTTTGAACATTATGGTATATACTAGAATTTTCTTAACATCCTCATTTCTAAGTGAAATATCCATAAATGGAAATTATCTCATGTAATTTGTGATTTGTATTGTTTTCCTTATTGCCACAATGTTTCGTAAAAAGAAACATTTTAGTGTTAACTTAACTTTTAGTTCCATTAGCGGTTGATAATTAACAATTAGGGGAAGTTTTTTTCTTTTAGTAGGTATTAATTATAATTATCAATTATTGTCAGATCAGGGAAATGTCAGGGATTTTTATTAAAAGTACTATGTAAAAAAGTCAAAATTTTGTCTGGAAATTAGGGAAAAGTTAGGGAACAACAAAATTAAATTTTTGCGGCAACATTGATTCAGTTCGATTTCGTTTCTAATGATTATTAATCGTACTTTATACTATTGATGATATCTACACTTTGAAATTGAGAAGCTCGTAAACCAATCGTTTACGATTTAAGTAGCTAAGAAGGAAACGGAAACGACTATATGATGTGTAATGATACTACTCTTGAAGCTCTTCACAAGTCTCTTATACAGTATAACGAGAGATCCGAGGAAGAACCTGACTCCGCTTGGCAAACAAAAATAGAGATTACGCGCTTCAACTGAAACATCAGAAACTCCTCGTTTATTTCGTTTCTAGTTCAGGGGTATACTGCTTCTTCAATCTTCTGTGTATTTTTGCTAAAAAAAAGGAAAGATTGTGTGGTTTAAAGACCAACGATCTTAGTATGAAAATAAAAAAAAAAGGAGAGAGACACTGCGAGAGTACGAATATAGAAGGCGTAAGGGATCGTCCTTGTTGTTGGAAGTCTTTGCGGCTCTGCCTTGCATCCCGCATGGAATGCGTCTCCTCACCCAAGTGGTTGACCAGGTTTTTCAGGAAAAAGAAAAAGGAAGGGGGGAGGGGAAAGAATAAATTGTCCAGAGAAGACATTTTTTTAAATCCCTGACTCGTCCGACTTTATTGCTGTCTTTTAGGACCATCGTCGACCTTGAGAAGCCGGGAGCACACGCTCCTTTTCTCTCTCCTTTGTTGCTTTAAGCACCTATATATGCGTAATATATGTATAGAGTGTAGAGTTTCAACCAATGAAATGATGATCTCTTTTAACGTCCCACGCATCCTGAAAAGGAAACTCCCGTCTAATTTTTTATTTTTATAATAATATATTTTCAGTCTATTAGAACAACTTTCCCCAGTTTTAAACTCAATTAAGGCGCATCAAGAAAGTAACTCTTTTTTAAAAAAACCTTTCTAGAAATTGTAAATCTTTTTTTTTCTTCTCCAATATATTTTTACGCTTCATCGTGAAATTCTTTCGTTTCTCGACGCGCTAATTTCAGAGAGGTGGTTCCTTTAAACTCCTAATTATTTAACTGCGCAAGTTCATTGGCGAACAAATTTTTTAATTAATTTCATGAAATTCCTCATTTCAGCCTCGTATAATGTGACCATTTTTCTTTTTTAAAGAAACGAGTGCACAAGTGATTTTTAAATACTTTCAATCTTGCTGTACAGCACTAAAAGATGCTCCACTTTCTTTGCCTGACACTAAAAAATTAGTTTCTTTCAAAAATGTGTATCTAAATAAATACTTATATAATTATTTGTTCTGAAAATCGAAAGTTGCGCCAAAAAATTTCACACAGTGATGAGCAAACTCATTAATTTAAAAAATGAATCTTCAAATGTTTTTAATTTATTATCACATGGTCGTAAGAAGTGGTCAAGTCGTCGTTAAAAGTGCGAAAATTTGAGATTAGATAAAAAA